AAATGTAAATCAAGTCTTAACCCATAGGTTCTGTCTCAAATTAACTATTTAATATAGGATTGCAGAATATGGGCATTAATTGCAAAATGAACCGTTTAAAAGGAAAATGCAAGGGTTATTTTCAAAATGTTTTATTTTTTTTGTTTGTTTGTTTTTTTAATTAATACTTACTGGTAGGACACCAGGTTGTGTAAATATTACTTTGTCATTTTAATTCTGAAAACGTGTATGAAATAAATAATTTGAAAATTCAGTCGTTGGTTACTTGTCCATCGAATAAAAAGCACTCCGTGTGATGCAGTGGCATACTTACCAGGGTCGCAGGGGTAGCGGCTGCGACCGTGCCCGGCCCACCAGGGGGCCCGGCCGCCCTGCGAGCCGGTATGTATGCCACTGTGGCCAGCCTCTTCTTTTGGGGGGGTCCAGGGGCTGGCCACCTCAGGGCCCCCAGAGGCTGGCCCTGGTATCACCCGGCGGCACGCGAGGGAGCACTCTCCCTGGCTGAGTGCTTCCTCTTCAGCTCCCTGGTGCACCATACTGATACCGGAAGATGACGTCTTCTTCCGGCTCCGGCATCAGTACGCGGCACGCGAGGGAGCTGAAGAGGGAACACACAGGGGAGAGTGCTCCCTCGTGCGCCCGCCGGGTGACACCACTGGACCCCAGGGAAACCCCTCAGCTCTCCCACAAGTAAGGAGGCTGGGGGGGATTACATTTTTTTTTTAAAGTTAGTGTGTGTGTTAGTGTTAGTGTGTGTATATGTTAGAGTGTGTTAGTGTTACTGTGTGCGTCTGTTGGTGAGTGTGTTTTGTAAGTGAGTGTTCATGTATGTCTGTCACTGAGTGTGTGTCTGCTAGCTAGTGTGTATGCGTCTGTTCATGAAAGTGTGTGTGTGTGTGTGTGTCTTAAGCACTTACCTTTCTCCAGTGCCGGACTCCCTTGGCGCTGGGATCTCTCCGCCCCGATCCGCCTCTCAGCTCCGAATGCGCATGCGTGGCAAGAGCCGCGTGCGCATTCAAACCGCCCATAGGAAAGCATTACTCAATGCTTTCCTATAGACGTTCAGAGTCTTCTCACTGATTTTCACAGTGAGAATCGCGGAAGCTCCTCTAGCGGCTGTCAATGAGACAGCAACTAGAGGCTGGATTAACCCTCAGTGAAACATAGCAATTTCTCTGAAACTGCTATGTTTTCAGCTGCAGGGTTAAAACTAGAGGGCACCCAGACCACTTAATTGAGCTGATGTGATCTGGGTGTCTGTAGTGGTCCTGTAAGTGTATGTGTACTTGCATGCACTGGCGTACATACCGCGGTCGCAGCCCTGCGACCAGGTGCCCGCTGCCATGTGTTGCGGCCCCCGGCCCGCGCAGAGTAAGCACGTGCTGGGAGTATGGGGGGGCCCACGGATCAGTTTTCATACCGGGGCCCCATGGGTTGTGTTATGTCACTGGTGTGATGTAATAATAAAGAAAAAAGAGGGATGAAACCGCGCTATCCAAACTGATCACAATGGGGAGGGGGAGGCTGCACACCTGGAAGAAAGGGTAACCTTTAAAACCCTTGAAAGGACTGGAAAAAACTGAAAACAACAAGGACAGGGTGCGCCAAGAACAAACTGAATAAATAATAGAAAAAAATACCAGGGAAACAGGCAAATTAAAGTCTCTAACTCAAGACGTCTTGGGTCAAATCCTCATCAGCATATATGAAAGAAAGAAAAAACACAGAGGGGACCAATGGTGCAGACAACACGGAGGTTAAGAAATGCCAACTCACATTTATGGGAGCTATAACAAGCTCGAGTTAAAACAGCATACAGTGGTATTTAAACTCCCCACATGTAGGATATTCTTCTGACAATATTTTCAGTGCAGGTTGTATGAAATAAAAACACAAGAGAAGGCCCATAGTGCTCTCTATATTAACCCCTTTAGACCGGAGGGCGTACAATTACGCCCTATTATAGGCAGCTCTAAACTCCATGCCGAAAGTAAAGGGAATTTAATTGGCTAGCACTATATTTAACCCTATAATTTTCCAAGACACCATAAAACCTGTACATGGGGGGTACTGTTCTACTCGGGAGACTTCGCTGAACACAAATATTAGTGTTTCAAAACAGTAAAATGTATTACAACGATATATCGCCAGTAAAAGTGAAGTTTTTTGCATTTTTCATGCACAAACAGCACTTACACGGATGATATTATTGCTGTGATACTTTTTACTGTTTTGAAACACAAATATTTGTGTTCAGCGAAGTCTCCCGAGTACAACAGTACCCCTCATGTACAGGTTTTATGGTGTTTTCAAAAGTTACAGCGTCAAATATAAGGCTTGCGTTTCATTTTTTTCACATTAAAATTCGCCAGATTGGTTACGGTGCCTTTGAGACCCTATGGTAGCCCGAGAATGAAAATTACCCCTATGATGGCATACCATTTGCAATAGTAGACAACCCAAGGTATTGCAAACGGGGTATGTCCAGTCTTTTTTAGTAGCCACTTAGTCACAAACACTGGCCAAAATTGGCGGTTTTTGCATTTTCACACAAACAAATACTAACGCTAGCTTTGGCCAGTGTTTGTGACCAAATGGCTACTAAAAAAGACTGGACATACCCCATTTGCAATACCTTGGGTTGTCTACTATTGCAAATGGTATGCCATTATGGGTGTAAATTTCATTCCTGGCTACTATAAAGTCCCAAAGGCAACGTAACCAATCTGGCGAATTTCAATTTCAAATGTAACATGCTATATTTGACCCTGTAACTTCCCAAAACACCATAAAACCTGTACATAGGGGGTACTGTTTTACATGTGAGACATCGCTGAATACAAATATGTGTATGTTACTGCAGTAAAAGCAAACAGTATTATGACATTGACAGTTAAAATGTCATGTAGAACTAAAAAAAATTAAAATAAATCTTATTTTCTCCCATTTTTTTCATATTAAATTATGTTTCACATCTAACTATTTGATATTAAATGAAAGCCCTGTTTCCCCTGAATAAAATGATATATAATAAGGGTGGGTGCATGCACTATGAAATAGGTGAATTACGGTTGGACAGACATGTAGCGCAAATGCCAGGTTTTGTTTACATTTTGTTTCGTTCACAACGTGTACATTTGGCTCCGTCCTTAAGGGGTTTAAAAAGTGCTGAATAAAATAGGAGATGTACTTACAATTTACAGAGCAGACAAACCACTCTGGGTGAAACAATCCCCACCATCTGTGTGATGTAATGCTTAAAGGAAAACAGTTATCAATTTTTATCACAACGGAAAATAAATTATTACATTTAATATAGCCACATTGTATATTAATCTGTAATGAATGTGTATAAGTGAGTTTCTAGTGCATTCCATCCAAGCCTACCCTGACCAAAGCCGTCTTTGGTCAGAAGTTCCACGTATCTGCTATCACGATGGACAATCGGAAGTTAACTATCCCTGCGCACACTTTTGAGATGCCTAGTGCTTAAATATAATGTCCTAATATATGAACGTGCACAAGCTCTTAATTACCTGCACAGTTTTATTGTTGGATAAACTGTGCTTATGACCAAAGAGGACTTAAAATGGCTGCCCACACAGCGTGAGAGTAAGCCAGGAAAACGTACTAAAAAAAAGCAGTATTTACTTAAATATATTCATTGTACATGAATACACACAGAGGCTGCAATACATGTAATCTTTTAGTATGTCATAATAGGACGGCCATTTTCCTTTAACCCCTTAAGGACCAAACTTTTGGAATAAAAGGGAATCATGACATGTCACACATGTCATATGTCCTTAAGGGGTTAAGGAGATCTTTAAGTAATGATTGTGGTTGTGGCAAAGAAACACTAAGACACAAATCACTGCAGCATAATATCTTATTCCTAAAACACAAGCATAGGTTGCATTGCCATTTACAGACAGCAGGTGTCGCTACACAACTGTGCTTTAGGGGCCTCCTTAGCAGCTCGACCCACAGAAAGCATTATACGGGATTAATGCAAAACCTGTACCTGTGTGTTCCTAGTGAAGAGATCCTGCCAATTCCCCTGTATTTACCGCTGGCCTATTTTAGCCTCAATTTTGCATTTAAGTTCAGTTAATAACTTGGTGTATGTGTAAGGGGGCATTTATTTAAATTTTGTGCTGTACACTTTTTATTTAATCATTTTAAGTTCAATGGCATTCCGTGGCATTTGAGGCAGTCCCACGTCCAGTTCTCACATGCAGTTAACTAAACACCGCTAAGGAGACTCTCCCACTTGTCTAAGCCTAACGGTGCGGATGAGACATAGTATTAGGAGGTAATAGTGGAAGTTCTACTAATTCAATTTCATTATGATTATTATTAGTAATAATATTAGTATTGTGGTGACCACCTATGCTACTTTAAAAATTACAAAGCATCGAAGATCATAGTAAATTAAATTCTAATCTGCATACAATTCTTTTTTTAACAACTACTCACAAGTATAATGGAGTCGATCCATAGATAATAGTCGTATAATCAACATTACAACGTTACCTAGTGATACATGCAACCAGTCTCTGATATTTACTGAGAGGCAGGTAACTTCTTGAGATACAGTTGGCTTTGGATAATAAATCACTCTCGGGAAACTATATATAACATATTCCACTGGATATTAAGTTCCCAAGTGTTGGTAAACTTAGACTATGTGAATGTAACGACTCTGCGTATAGGTGGTAACAGAATATCGCATATTTCCGGAACACAACTCCGTATTACATAAGTTCAGAGAAGCCAACATGAATCCACTGCTGCCACGTTGAGAGAGATGGTGGAAGGGAGGAGAGGAGATTGTCTAGCACGTAGTTGTAGGTACTAATATATATATATATATATATATATATATATATATATAAAAATATATATATATTATATATATATAAAACAAAAAATAGTCTTGCACTCCAACTTACTGGTGTCTTTGCCTGGTGCTTATCGGCATAGTATAACCAAATAGTGTAGAGATAGCACTCCCAGGACTCAAAAGGATCCTGATTGACAAACTGAAATGTTTAACTTTTATTTTTTAAATTTTAAAAGATCAATTTTATTTTTAATACCTTTGGAGTCCTGGGAGTGCTATATCTACGCTATCTGGTTTTATATATATATATATATATATATATATATTTCAATGTAGTCAATGGGGTTAGGGCAAAGTAGTTAGAAGTATGAGTGAATCAGCGTTGATTCGATGTGGAGCTATCTCTCATGAATCTCAGCCAGGATATCCAGGTTGGGGAGTAGAATAAGTATTTATGGGTCGAGGAGGTGGTGATCCCCAACATTTTTCTGATCGATTTGACTCTTTGTATCTATTTTCTATGTGATGGGGGTAGAAAGTTTTTCCATTTAACTGGAATAAGCAAGTTTGCAGGTGTCAGTAAGTGGTTTATTTCGATTTTGTGGTTTGAGAATAGGGTCTGGGTGTAATAAGAACAGTACGATTTCCAGGGTAATGTGAACTCGTATTATAGCATGGATCATTGCCACTACTTGATTCCAGAAGGTCTGAATAGCTATTAGCTGGGCATAGCCACCACATATGTGCATGTGTGTAAAAATAACTTTCCAATCCTGGGGTGTTCGGTTGAGGTCTCGGGCCCAGGAGGTTGTAAGCTGATGTAGTGGTTCTATGTGTTAGTCTTGTAGAAGTTTGTATAGTGTAGAGAGGTGTTTCGACTTAATAATACGGGTTTCACAGTATGTTTCAAAAGTTGTGAGAGTATGCGATCCAGTTATTAGTTGTTGTGTAGTGCACAGAAAATACTGTTGTGTATCACAAGCATATCTCAAGCTGAACTTTGAAGGGCTCCCCCTTTGGCACAGAAACTCGAGAATTCATGTTAGCACAACTATCCAAGAGTTCCCATCTTGACATGTAAAGGAGATCAACACCATTCTGCATGTTTTGCAAGTACCCCTAGCAATGGACACTGTTTTAAACACAGCTTTTGCTTTTTTTAAGAACTTGCATTAATTAATAGTGTAAGTGCAGAAGCTCAGGAAAGGGGCTAACAGCAGAGTTACTGATCAAAATGACACAAGAAGCGGTCAAAAAAATTAGGAAAGTTTTGACATTTTCCTGGCACTTACCTGTGCCTTCCAGTCTACACGGATATGTTAAGATTAAGTCCATTCATCCACATTACCTGTAATAATTTTCTGTCACTTTAACACGTTTTTTGGCTGACAGGTTCAGTGTTTTAAAATCCATTATATTAAAATCTATATATTTGCTAAAAGGATTTCCATCTTAACATATAAATAACTTGTTAAGCTTCTGAAAGGGTTACTACAACCAAATCCACCACAAGTTAACAAAAAAAAATGAATGAATTAAATTTTTTCCAAGATAAGTTTTTCCCCTCCGCCCGATATTCCTTGGCTGACGTCACTACCCTTCACCTGAGGGCGGATTACAGAGAGGACAAGGCGGTATGGGGGCGTGCAGCCATTGGTCAACTGGCACCAGAATGCAGCGCGTGCTGGCGTCAAGACGCCTATTTCGCTCAGCAATTGTTAGCCGGCCTGGAACTTGGTTACACCTCCAGCAGTTTCAAAGCAAAACTCTGCACATACAGACTCCAGGCACCATGACCACTTCAAACCAATTAAGTGTTGCTCTGAGTAACCCTTTAATTTAAACCTTCGTTGTATGTGTACGCCGTGGTATATTTTAAGTTATTGTTTATCCAGCAGGTGGCGCCTCCTCCCTATCACAAATACATGTTCATTTATTTTCCCTTCTCAGTCACAAAGGTGATAAAACCATATGCTTATTTAGCTTTTCCAAGAAACGTGAGATTTATGTTTTATATTCTGAAAGAATCCTAAAGTTTATCACACAGTATATCTTCCAGGCATGCTTAGAATATAAAAAAATACAAATTAAACGGGTTTACAGAAGATCCCACATTCAATGCTTATGGTTAAAATTACGAGCACTATCGATTCCAGCAATGTATTAGAAAAGGCTGCCTTCCCAACTCACACAAAATTGATATCAGACAGATCTTATGGTTAAATTGTGTGCACATGCAGAGTCATTACGTGGAGGATTTAAAAAAATGGGATTTGTTCATAACTTAACTCCCAACATTGAGGTATGATATGGTATCAGGACTGGTGGGAGAGGAAAGGGAGTAGGTCTACCCAATGAAAGGGTATCACGGATGCCAGGCTGAGTGACTGCCTCTCTGGTGAGCCCCCAACACAAAAGACCATGACCATGTGGAGAACGTTGCAGAAGCGGTATTTGCGTAGGCTTATTGCCCGCGGTACAGCACAAGCACGTCTAATGATGCGCTCACTCTGTGCTGCCTGGGTACAAAATCAGGAGGTAGTGCAATATACTAAAATAGGAACGGTCTTGGCGAAATCGGGACAGTTGAGAGGCCTGTTAGGATCACATATCAAATGTAGGGGTTAGGCTTTGATGGCCAGGAAATACTTAATAAAAATTGTTTCTTAAAAATAGGAGGAACTCAGCCTAGATTCTGCTGAACCATAACCACTACAATACACTCTAGTTCTAATGATGCTCAGCTGTCATATTAGCATGACCGTATCATCCTGTACACATTCTATAATATAGTAACAACAATCCAATCAGATTGATTCAAAACTGATTTCAAGACACAGAATCCACACCATTCTAAATCACGTGTTGCCAATAAACAATGGATGATTAGGTAGAGATTTTTTTTCTACAATTTGACACAATGCTCTGTTTGATCTGATTGGTACCAACCCTCGTCCAATTATAATTGGCAACATTCAGTCAACACACATCACTCAGAAACAGAGCCCAGGGCTCTAGGAGGGAGCCCCAATCTGGCACACTACACAGGGTCCTGGGCAACCTTGATCCGGCTCTGCTAAGATACAGCACCTCCTTTCTGTAAAGTACACAGTGGAAAATCTTCATAAAAAAAAAAAAAAGAGTACTTGTGAAGAATCACCCTCCACTTATTCGGTTCTCTCCCTCCCTGCTACTGTATTCGTTGGATTTATTACCTTTATTACTAGTTCATTTGTTACTTTCTATTCGTCAAAATCCCTTGTTCGGTAAAATAACTATTTTACCAAATGAGGACCACCCTGGGTAGCAATTAGAACGTAGAATCCTGTGTTATTGCATGAAACCACAAGCTAATTGAGTGCTCCTGGGTGGCCGCCATTTCTGGACATGGACACGTGGCGAGAACAATAGATGGCGGCCATCTTAAACTCCCGAACGGCCGGCCAGCGGGACTTAGGCGTCGAGCGCCTGGGACTAATTTCGGCATGGCTCTCCAGCAATCCCCGGTCCACCATGGAAGTCCCGTCTGACCCATTTCCACGAATTGTACACGAATGGCGTTCGGGAGTTTCAATCTACCGAACGAGGGGAGCACTCTCATGTAACCAGCTACATTATATCTATGGAGGTTTTTGTGCAATTTTCATCCGAATGGAGACCGGCTCGCACCACTGATTTCATGGAACTCTGAGTCGGCTACAACCTCGTGGCGAGCCGGTCAAACTTCCACCCAGTATAACTCCAAAACTACCAAACAGATTCCCACAAAATGTGGATATGTTGCTCACATCACCCTCAGCTACCTAGGGATATGTTATGTATAAAGTGTGTTTCCAATAATTGTGAAAAATTTTAACTTTTCTGGCCACTAAATAATTGAGTTTGATGAGTGCTCAAACCCAATTATCTAGCCTGGCCCAGAGGAGGAGTTATGTACTGTATAAATTGTGTGCCCTGTTTCTCAGTAAATCAGACTTGTTCCAGCATTAAGCCTTGGCTCATGTGTGGATTATTTGGCGATACCAGCAATTTATTACTCTGTGGATTACTTGGTGATTTTATTTTTATGGGAAGAAGGGAATGCTTGACGGAGTAAAGGATTGTACCATCACAGTACTTAAATCAGTCTTAAGAAAATGCTTAAAACACTTTATTCCTCCATTTAAAGCTCAACATGGTCACGGGTCACCAGACAGAAAACAGTGACGTGTTTCAGAAACCTCTATCACACTAAGGGACAGATTTGAAAAGGGAAGGCATGAACTCAATCATATAATTAGCCAGTAGGTTAATAAGCCAATTAAATTTACATTTTCAGTCCTGACTAGGGGCCAAACTTGTAGCCAGCTGATCACTAAACAAATTTATATAAATTACATGTCCATGGTCCAAAAATAATACACATAATATTTACATATCTTGAAATTTATACAGCAAACAACACTGGTTCCCACACGCCATAAATCCAGCATTGTTAACATGAATGAGCCATTATGGAATGTTAACAACCAACAACAACAAACAACCAAGTCAAAGGCAAAACGTAGTCCATTTATTACAAAGAAATATAGATATATAGTAATTGGTGTTTGCAATTTCCTGGGACTCGTCTAGGACAGGCATAGGCAGCCTTCGGGCTACACCTCCCATGATGCTTTGCCAGCATTATGGGTGTAAAAGCATTATGGGGGATGTAGTCCACCACATTTGGAGTGCCGAAGGTTGCCTATGCCTGGTCTAGGTCATGATCAAAAAAGGCATACGCTTTATGCACTTGAAAAAGGGCAGTTAAAAAATTATTCAGTTAGTAGTTTTTTTTCTTCAATTTTCACTTTAGTAAATAATTCTGAGTGAAGGCTATAAAAATACACACGAAAATAGATATTCATATAAAAAAAAAATACATAGATTTTTTTTTTTCAAATCACCCCTCAAAAACAAGAAGGTAAGAATTATAAAAAGTGACCTCTTCACGTTTAAAGGACCACTATAGGCACCCAGAGCACTTCAGCTCAATGAAGTGGTCTGGGTGCCAGGTCCCTTTTCACAGTGAGAAGACGCCAGCGTCCATCGGAAAGCATTGAGAATGCTTTCCTATGGACTGACTGAAAGCGTGCCACGCATGCGCATTCAGCCGATGACGTCCAAAGGAGGAGGAGAGACCCCAGCGCCGAGGGAGCCCGGCGCTGGAGAAAGGTAAGTGTTTAACCCCTTCCTCCCAATGCAGCCCGGCGGGAGGGGGGGCCATGAGGGTGGGGGCACCCTCAGGGCACTATAGTGGTCCT